CATCTTTGGGAAGCACGAAGAAGCTTTACGAAAAGATGGAAAAGACAGAAACGTAACCGTGAATTGAAAGAAAAAATCGAAAATATCACCCAGCGCGCAGAGGATTACGCCAATCAATTAGCTGCAACTAATTGGGCCAATTTCTGTGATTCACTCAATGGAACGCTGAGTACGGCCAAAACATGGAACATATTGAAAGCCATGATAGACCCCACGAAGACAAAAAATGGAAACAGTAAAGCCGTTGAACGATTGCTGCACTTATACCCAGGTACAAAAGAGGACCTCATTCAAGCCATGCATAAAAATGCTTTGGGGAAGACGGAGCGACGCCTTCATATCAAGGAAGGTATAAAGGATCACTGCAACCTGATTTAGACAAGCCTTTTATGGACGCTGAGATAAGAGCAGCCATATTTAGTAACAAGAAGAACCCACCCGCGGGTGCAGATAAAATCACCAATGGTATGATCAGGAACCTAAATGACGAAGCCATTGAAGCTCTCACTAAATACATAAACAAACATTGGCTGGCTGGAACTGTCCCACCAGAATGGAAACATGCGATTGTGGTCATGGTGCCTAAACCAGGAAAAAAACTTGCCATTGAGAACATAAGACCTATCTCGCTCACGTCCTGCTTAGGAAAAATCTTTGAAAAACTGGTGAACACCAGGCTCCTCAACCATCTCGAGAAGAACAACCTCATGCCCGAAACTATGCTTGGCTTTCGCTCACACCTTTCTACGCAAGATGTTCTACTACTTTTAAAAGAACAAGTATTAATGGACATCTCTAAGGTTGGGGAAAACGTCGTTATGGCTGTTGACATGAAGGGAGCCTTTGATAACATCAGTCACGAAGCAATACTAGAAGGTCTGGAGGAAGCTAACTGTGGAGAACGAATGTTCGACTACGTCAAAAGTTTTCTTAGTAACAGCACTACAACAATCAAGCTGGGAGATTACGAATCCGACATTATTAAACCTCCAAACAAAGGAACACCCCAAGGAGCGGTCATTTCACCGACACTTTTCAATGTCGCCATGACAGGCCTTGAAGGAAAACTCAAAGATATTGCCGGTCTACAACATGCGATATATGCAGACGATATTACGGTATGGACAACCACAGGCAGCCTAGCAGAAAAAGAAGATAGGTTACAACAGGCAGCTAACACCATAGAAGAGTACGCAAGGATACGGGGTCTTCAGTGCTCAGCCGAAAAGTCAGAGCTCATTCGCTTCACGAAGAGAAAAACACGGAGGATTGACCCGAATCTAAAGTTGGAAGTCAAGCTCGACGGAAATGTCATTCCGGAGAAAGATACCGTACGCATACTAGGAATGTGGCTTCAAGCTAAGTAGAGATGTCTGCACACACTAAATCAACTCAAAACATCAGTACAGCAGATCTCACGCATGATCTCGCGAATAACAAACAGCCATAAAGGCATGAGAGAACAAGATACCCTAAAATTGGTCAAAAGCCTCGTCATCAGTCGCATTACATACTCGCTTCCATATCAAATTATGAACAGGGAAGAGAAGGAAAAAGCAAACCAAATAATTAGAATGGCCTACAAGACAGCCCTGAGATTACCGCGGAATACTTCAAACGACAAGCTGCTGGCGCTTAGTCTTCATAACACAATTGAAGAATTATCCGAGGCCCAGTTACTAGCGCAAGAAAATCGCCTTCTCCAGACCCCAACGGGCAGAGCAGTCCTAACAAAACTAGGGCGTGATTTTTTATTACAAACACACCAAGAAACTAAAGAAGTACCTAGCGAACTCAGAAAATGGTACACCGTATTGCCAATACCAAGCAACATGGATCCCACTCTGCATGCTGGAAGAAGAAAGGCAAGGGCTGACTACATATACAAAAAGACAAGATTTTTGAACACGGCCAAATTCACTGACGCCGCGCCTTATCAGACCAATGCAAAGAGATATGTGTGTGTAGCCACCGACTATAGAGGGAAAATTACAGCCTGCGCTTCAATAGATCAGGCGTCGACAACACAAGCATAAGAAGTTGCCAAAGCACTCGCAATAAAAGAGGGATGGACGCGAAACGCTCCATTAACAATCATTTCAGATTCGCAAAAAGCTTGCAGAAACTATCTAAAGGGCAAAATTGGAGCACAAGCACTCCGTATATTGGTTGGGACAGGATGGGACCCCACAGTGAAATACGTACAGGCTGTGACTTGGGCACCGGGGCACGAGGGTGTGACAGGGAACCTGCGTGCGGATGAGGCGGCTCGAGGCTTCACAAATCACCGAGCCACTCAAGCCAATGCAAGGGATGACCCTACACTCTTGGACCCTTGCTTCGCAACAATTTTAAAGTACTATACAAAGAAAATAGGCAGCTGTGTCCACGTCCTCACAGCAAGCTCAGCGCTGTGGAGGCAACAGCGCTAAGAAAAATACAGACTAACACTTACATAAATCTGCACACTCTTCACCTGATCTACCCCACGGCGTACAGAGATATGTGCCCGTGGTGTGGAGCCACCCCAACACTCTTTCACATCACGTGGGAGTGTGCAGAGCACGACGAAGAGCACGACACCACTGGCACGTGGGAGGAATGGGAGGCGCTGCTGTCTAGCCCAGCCCTAGTGGATCAGCTACGACTGATCCAAAGAGCTGAACGGATGGCTCGCGCCAGTGGGGCCCTGGAATAGGGGCACCACCCTGCCGGACAGACTTCGCTCTCCACCCCGTATATTCTTCGGGGCACTGGAGTTCAAGCCTGTCTGGATTATGTATATAATAAAGTTTTGTACTACTACTACTAATATTTCGGTGACATGTTATGATGTAATGATTACGTCGCAAATTTCGGGGTTTGCGATGTCATTATGACGTCATGTGATGATGTCGTCGTGGGATGATTTCTGCATCACTACTGTAGACGCTGCCGACGCGGCACGATTGACGGTCATTTTTTTGCTTTTGGTAATGGACCTGAGCATCTGACTTTAAAATATTTGATTTTGTTACAGCAAAGTAAATAACAGCAATAATCAGCCAAAGGGGCCAGAAGAATATTGAGAAAAGCTGTCTTTGTCATTTTCCTGGACAAATCAGGCCACTCTTTTTCCTACTGTTTTTCCCCAAGCTGCATTTCGATACCAATTTAATCGCGAACAGCGGAGCACGTTGCCCAGGCATTAAGAACTGTATAGCTCGTAACGTCCTCTCATCACCACCGACAGGCACGCACACTCAAGCAGGCAACACTGCACGATCGAAGGCGTGAATGTGGTTCCCGAACGACTAACCGCTCGAGCGGATCCATCTCTAATGACAAAGGTGTGAACTGGATCCCGCGCGTTTCATTCGGAGTCAATAATACATACAAGCTTTATTGTGCATGAAACTTGCCTAATATAAGCTAGCTGTCAGCAATAACCTGCAGGTCGATGAACTTATCAATTTTACCTTGACAGCAAACGTTTCTTGAACACGCGCCTACATGCGTATACAACTGAAAGTACGGTATGAATTTTCGTTGGAATTAGGTCTGCTTACACAACGCTAACATAGACGAATAAGCCGTAAAAGCGCTCGCACTTCGATCATATAGAGCAGCTCAGACTGCCTTTGATTCGCTTGATGGGACGTTCACATAAACGTGTTACATAAACTATTTCAACACCATCCAGCCCCCTGAGTGAAGCTACTAACTTGAAGAAATCATTCTGAACGTGACGGTGTGGGTATATAAGTATCTTAACAACTCGTATTACTAGCAGTCATCTAAAAATTGACTACTAGAAAAAAATACAGCTAGTATAATCGGCTGACGCCACGCGACACGAGCGAACTGTAACGAAAATGCAACTGTTCCAGCCAGAGCATTGCAGACGATGAAAGCCCAATCCCCTTCGTCGCGTCACTGGAGCGCCGTTTGCAGCGCAGCCATTGACGGCTCATGACGCGAATACCACTTCATTTCGTTATATGTTGCAACTGTCGAGAAAGAAAAAAAAACCTATTTCACTCTCAAGCTTCATTTTATTTTACATCACCTATACCATTCATAAAATAACAATTCAGTCTCAACGTCGTATTCGTGGCCAATCTCCCAAAGTTGGTATTTGCCATTTATTCGAGGAAAACAAACAAGCAAACACTTTGTGCGCACAAACTCATGCTCTCTAACTGAACTGTCTTACGCAGCCTCTGTAAAGAAAAGATTACCAACAATATCCTGGTATAGGCGACAGCTATACGGAACTTATGCCATCATAAGTCACCAGAAGGAGAAGAAAATGCTGCTAATAAATAGCCAGTGCAGTCACTCAGGCTACAAAAACAAATGAAACGTAAGAATAAATCCGTGATCTTTTCACTGCGGCTATCCTGAAATCACACATTCCCCGCAGCTTTCCTCCTTTGTTCGTTATTATCGCAATGCATTTCCCTACACTCCTGGGTCGCGTTTACCGTTCGTAAACACTAGTCCTCAATGTTAGTAACGAGACTGAATTCCGGTGTATGATAAACTAAGGTACGCAGAACAACGACGATTACGCACCGGTGTGGCAATGATTACGATGGAAAAAGCACAGCTGCGTTTCAGAAGCCATCGCGAAGGCTTCAAATCAATAAGACTTGCCGAACCCATTCACACGCTACAGCTGGTTTTCGCTTATTAGGGCTTCGATAGAGCATCTCGAGTCTCTTCCTCTCCAAAAAACTAATTAACCGAATCGTGGCACTCGTAAGAAGCAATCGCTCATACCCTCGCGCTCTCTCTATCGCGTCTCGTTCGAGTTGCCGATAGCGTAAAGAAACAACGTACAGTTTTTCTTTCACGCTGTCGCTGTCTTGGTGGTCCTTGCTGGCGGTACACCGGAGACGTTCCACTCGAGCCAAGGTACCATGTGCCTCGGGATGTGTACTTGCTATGTCCAGTGGCCGACGCCCAGGCGTGAACTGCTGGGCGCACAGCCGGTAATGTTACACGATTGTTGAAGTGCGTGTGCGCTTGCGGACGCTAATCGAAACGGACCGGTTTTTTTCTGCCTTGCGGAGGCTTTCGAACGACTGGAAGGAGGAATGTAGCAGGAAAGAGTGCGTTAAGGAGAATGGCAAGGGGAGGGGGTGCGTTGCGTCGTAGCGCCGTCTTCCTTTTCCTAGAAGAAGCGCTCTTGGTGTTATATTTCGAAATCCGCGACAGCTAAGTAAACTCGGGGGTCTGCACAAATGCATACTGACTGTAGTTTCTGCATCACGTGCCGTCAGAGCCGGGAACCCAACATAGTGACGGTATGATGTGGGCGCTAAACGATTATCTTTCTGAAGTTATTGTGGAATTGGTTTTATTTTTCGCGACCCTTGCGGTAGCATGACGTCATGTGCGGCGGATATGTGATATCTCGTTCTGCGCCTATGCGAGAGGTAACTCTACCTGCGGAGCAGTCACCATTTACTGAGAATACACAGTTTGAACTGCCACTTTCCACTGTCCGGCACGGCCGACCTTTTCTGACATAACTTACGAATAAATAGGATGGTAAATAAACTCCCCAATAACAATTTCGCTTTCTTTTTTTAAGGAAATCATGTGAAATTGCGGGGAATAATGACGTGTTTTATCTAAGGTTAAAGCGATGCGTCAAATTCGATATGTGATAAAGAGTGGCTACTTGGGCTGGTTGGTATTGCTGGTTGGTATTGCATCTGATCTTTACGTTGGCGTCCATGTGCGTCGTTTACATTTACGTTGCAGCGATGTCGGGGTGCGTTGGCTCCTCCCAGTCCAAAGGTCGCCACCGCCATTCATGATCACGTGTCAGTCGGCACGGCAGCTACAAAGCTGCCTCCGAACACGGCACGTCGGGAATGAGCATGGGCGGAGACTACGTGCCGCTACGTCGCTACAGGCCTTAGAATATGTTGACGGTGCCTACACATGTTTATTAACATGGAATATGTGTATGGATCTTGCGCGAATTGTGCTGCCATCTAGCAGCCGCCTTGCGCATTTCAGACGTGTTAAAGGCACACACAGAGCGTCTGTATACCAACGCAAGGCGGCTGATGGGAATGACAATGCCGACATACTTTCGCGTACCGCCTTGCTGAGATCAAGTTAGCTATGGATGCTGAAAAAGAAGTTTTTCTGGGAAAAGAACCTCCATGTTATTTCATTCCCTCGAGGCCGACGAGAAGGAGAATATCGTTCAGTGTCTCTGGCAACTGCTCACAACTGACTCCGTCTCTCGCTAACCGTTTTAAATATATGGCCTACGAGACGGCTTCGGTACTTGTCAGGAAACGCTCTTTCGTGTCATACCGGAACGAGACATATTTCGCTCCGGGGGTAGGAGCACACAGACCAGCTTCGCGGAAGAGCTTCCAAGCTGCAACGCGGCTACCCACTCATGCCTGCTCTGATGTCGACATTAACTTGCATAGGCGAGCCTTGAAGGGCAATTTGAAACTCAGTTGTTTATTATATACGATAACAATCGCATGTTAGACAGGTAGCTCATACACGTCACTAATTTTCAGTGAATAGACTGATTGTGCAGGCGCGTTTTTTTTTTTTGTAGTTTGTTTTCGATTGTGGAGTTTAGCAAGGTTGCTTTTTGTAGGATGGCTTGCGCGCGTACTGCACACACATGACATTTTATAAACAAATAAGTCATGAAAGTTTGTTTATTTTTGTATTTTGTTTTAATGCGAACAGTACGGGCAGGAGGGGTAGTTCACTCAAGTACGACGAAACGTAATGGGCGCGTGTTCGTGTCGCATACCTCGTTGAACAACGTGGCCTCCAATAACAGAATTTAGGCTTTAGACAACAGGCAGTGACATACGGGACCAGAAAGTCTTTGGAGCACAAATCTTTTAAAGGAACCATCTGCATTAAGAGATCATTAAAATTTGGCATAAAGAGTTTTTTGAAAAAATCTGTGCCAAAATTTAGGTTCTGATCACATGAAAAAAAATGTATCTTTAATATCAAGTGGAGTGTTCTATTTAGGATTTTGTGCCATTGGAGGGCACAGTATCTCAAAAGTATTATTCCATAACCTAGTATACTGCAGGCAAAAGTTCGTGTTATCATTTTTATACTGAGTATGGTGTGTTTTGCATTATACCTAGACATGACACAGTGCGAAGTCTTTTACAAACATATATAGACGAGCTGACCGTTCCAAGAAAAGTCACTGTCCATATATACAAACTAGGTACTTCATTTTTTTATTCATAGTAGGTACTACCCTGCAATTGCCAACAAGAACATGATGAACCATCAGAACATTGCTAAACGAAGCATTAGTTAAGAGTTGCCTTCTTCAAGGGATTGTTGAAGCAGATTACATGGCGTTTAGACAGACTTCTTTTAAGAAAATGATTGATCGATTGATTGATTGATTGATTGATTGATCGATATGTGGGGTTTAACGTCTCAGAACCCCCATATGATTATGGGAGACGCTGTGGTGGAGGGCTTCAGAAATTTTTACCACCTGGAGTTCTTTAACGCGCACCCGAATCTGAGCACACGGGCCTACAGCATTTCCGCCTCCATCAGTTCTTTTAATAAATTAGTTGTTGTTCAGTGTACGATTACAACCGATGAGCAAAGCTCTTCAGAAATGGGACGCAAACTGTTATGCGTCTGATCTTGCTGGTGGCTTTCATGGAGGCGGTAGAGTGGGGATCGAGTGGGGGGAGAGTTTGCGGAACTGGCGGTGGGAATGATTCAGCGAGTGAGCGTGCGGAGCTCGAGGCGCAGCGCGAGCCATGTGCCACCGCGCCTGGTCTCCCGCGGGCGGGGGTGCGCGCACCTGTTGTTTTGCTCGGCGCGCTTGCCCGGAGCTTCGACGGCACCGTGATGGCCGCCACGTAATGTCAACCGGAGCCGAAAGTACGAAGATTCCACAAATTTTAATACTACCCATCATTCCCATGCTCGCTGAAGCGCCGCGCGTTGCAGATCCCATAGACACTATAGGCCAGAGGTCGCTCTCGTGTATGTATAAGAAACGGTATAAGGCCTGCAAGACAATCTCAATATCTGAAAAAGAACAGAAAAGTAATGAATAAGACTCAAAGCGCCGAGTTTAATGGTTTTATTATTTATTGTCGTACCAATACCTGCTTGGCTTCGTTGGTACATATAGGAGTTACGTAGGTGTCTTCGGCGCAAAACACTGATTTTGACTTCAGAGATAAGTTGGTGATTGCGATGTGTGAGTTAATACAGAATCAACAACGGAGAAAAGGACAGCTTAAATCAGTTGTATTTAAGGCTGCCGCCAGTCCGTGTGACTTCTTCGTTTATAAATATGTATGGACAAATAAAAAAGGGGTATGCTTAGGTATTTTGGAAGAAACCACGTGCGTAGCGCATGACGGGGATTTTTTGTTTCTTATGCGCGTTTTTGCTGTATAATTAGTGGTGCTTTGTGTGTTAAAAATGCTCCTCACAAGCTGATAAGTTAACCTGCGGTCGTTCCATATTACAACCCATAAATACAAACTGCTCATGAAGCGGCACCTTGGTTTTGCGTCAGAAATGATAATTTTGCGTGTATTTCCAGCACGTTTTGCCGGGTAAGAAATGATGCCGGCACACACATAAAAAGTGATGCTGATCTCATAATGTTTTCATCTTTTATATTATAAAATGCTTTTTGAAAACTTGTGTCCATGTCAATGCTGCCACTACCTGCACTTGTACCTGAAAGTTTTGGGACCAGTTAAAAGAGAGTGAGAACGCTCTGGTGTGTTTGAATTAGTGTCTTACTAAGAGTGAGAAAGGGCTGCCGCTCTAAAGGTGGTTCACTTGACCCGCGAAGAGGACGTCTCCAGTGTGCCTGTTGCGTATGAAGAAGAGGAATGGGTGGTCGACCACGAATGGAATGCCCACAGCTGCACTCTTCGTGTAGAAGATGACTGCAGTGGCACCGGCAGCCTCGCTGCCTTCCTCGTTAACCTCGACCACGGCCTTGTGAACGACGTCGTATATGGTCAGGTCACGGGCGCCGCTGATGCCGGAGAAGTCGGCATATCGCTCGTCGAAGGCCTTCGAGGCTCCTAGCGCCGACAGGGGCGCCTTCAGTTTGTACGAGCCCTCGATCTTGAACCTGACATCGGAAAAAAACATAATCATGTTATAAGACGTAACATAAGGCTTACAGCGTGAAGGGTACGTTAGATTGATATCTCAACGTTTCATTCCTCTTACTAAATGCGGTAGGCACGTGCCCTAAAAGGCGTGCCAAATAAACACCTTGATTGGCTCATTTGATTGGCTCATTTGATATTCAGGAGGGTGTATTTGCTCGGCAATTCAGACTCGACCGGAAATCAACAGCCATAACTATATATACTTTGTACCAGCTGCAATACAATAGGTTGTGCCCTTCACCGTAGCTTATGTTCCAGGCTGCATCCTCGGACATAGTTATGTCCTGCTAACAAATCTCTACTGTAGGCCACGAATTCCTTATCAACAACGTGCCATTGCACTGCTTGTTACCACTTTGTGCTGTTTGTTCTTCCTCAGCAATAACTGCAAACGCCTTTGAAGTCAACTAATTAGTATTGAAACACATCGCTTGTGTACATCCTAACCCATATTTTAACTCGTTTACCAATAAAAACAAAGTTTATAAGGAGCCACTTCCTACGTTAGCTACAATAACTCATTTGTTCTTATGGTACTTATAAAGGTCAAAGCACCAGAGCTTAGCTTTAGGGCAAGGCACTAAAAAGGTTTCAAGTTACTCAATTTTAGCACTACATCGGTATTCAAAAAAACGAACACTAGTGCAATGTGGTAATTACTGTTATTGAACACTGAATGTTTTTTTTTTTCCACAGCGAAGGCGTATTTTACCATAAAGCAAAAGTAAAACATGATCTTTACAAAGACGGGCCGGAGGAGCACAAGGCACAGGCGCTGAACACAGGCGTGTTCCTTCCGTCCGTCTTCGTAACGTGTCAGATGTTCTTCGCCTCATGATAAACTGCCAGATAGTACGTGATGGGTTATTGAGGACCCAGCGAATCGACTGCGAAAGGAAACACAGCGCGAGCACATGAGTTCTCGCCAAGCAATCGCCATTTGACATCTTCAAGAATTTTTCGTTGCTATTATGACGCAACATTCAACCTCTCATGCGCATATTCGGGAACATTGTGCATAACATTGTGCAGATGCAGAACGTTTCACACCCTCTCCTTTGGAAACGTGGTATCTGCCTACGCATTGCCATCCGTATACTCACTTGGGCAGCGACACCTCTATGGGAGAATTCATGTTGAGCTTGGACAGAAGGCGTTGGAAGATGGGCCACGATAGATTCTGCCTCAGCGCGTCCACACCAGTCCTCTCTCTAGGAAGAATGATCGTCAGGCTGTAGTCGAGCCCGGCGTAAGGCAGGTCCAGAACATCGGCGTTCGTCTCGTCGTCTCTGGCGTACCCCGCTGAGATCTGTTCGTACATTGTGTCGACTTCGACTATTTCTGTTCCCGCGTTGAAGAACGGCCTTTTCTGCGTTCCTCTCGCATCGAAAGGAACGTTCCACACACCCTTGAAGTAGATGGCATTCAGGAGAACCAGCCTGGTGTTGGGAGGAAGGGGCTCGCTGAGCAGCTTCTCAATCTTCTGCTCGGTCTTGTTCTTGACCCAGTCGTTGATAGCCCTCACGGATTGCTCATCGTGCAAGCTTGAAGCGCTTACTTCGGCATCGAAAGACTGGCGTAGAAGTCCTAGATATTCATCTGTCACAGTGTAGCTCTCTTGGACGACCGCTGCGTTGGCGACGCGGAGTGTCGAGTTTGATGGCGCGCGCAGCAGATGCGTATGCTGGGCATGGGCGCTGGGCACGTGGTCGGGTGTTAGGCCTACGGACGAGTAGCCCAGGGTCTCGTGAAGGTCACGCTGAGTCTCTCCCCTGGCGCCGACGTAGGCCATTGCCATCGCTGTGGACACGCTGTATGGCGAGTAGAAGAGGTTTGTCTGGGGCGAAACTGGGATCGCATTGAGGAGCTTGAAACCGAAATGATTGTTGGCCGCGGTCACCTTGTGTTCCTCTTGGCCATAGCATAGTGCCAAAAGCCCCGCGAGACAGATTATTATCTTCATGGTGGTCAACTGTAAGACGTACAAAGATGATAAGTGAACAATAATCTGGATCATCGAAGACGCAAGGCTAAACACCCTGCTGAAATTTCAACCCACTCGGCCTGCTTAATTGTTCCCCTTGTTTTATTCTCCTTACTAAGCAGCCTTTCTTGGTGGCGTATGTCCTAACCAGCGATAAGCCAGAAGAAGAAAAGTGTGTCATGGTAAATATTTGGCGTAATGTTATAATCACTTAGGAGAGCGTTACAAAAAGGGTTACGATCCTGCCTTATATATTGCTTACGTGAAATTCCGGCTGCATCTTTCTAACACCCGTGGATTGAAATGACTATACTGCGTAAGCATCTTGATAGAGTAACTAGAAGCAGTTGTAAGCTTACGAATGATATTACAATTATCTTCAAATATTTTGTAGCCGATTACTTTAAAGCAGGACACTCAAGTTGATGCTCTTGTACACTTCTACCTCCGTGAAGTACTTAAAGTTCAAAATTAGGCTACATAATTCTCATTGCCGAATAAATTCTGGACTACGAGCTCTGCATTCAATTTTTTTTGGAAGAAAAGAGAAGCAATGAGTATTAGAAGAAAAATCGTTTGGCTTCACAGAAAGCAAGTAGCTGTTTTATGTCACCCAACAGAATTTCCGCAAAATATTCGTAAACCAATGCGAGTGCTTATGAATTACCCTACAATCAAGAGGGAACTGCTATGGCTTACCTAAGAATCTAGAGGAAAGTGAAGTGAACAGTCGTTAAGAACGCCTCCCAAGCTCAATCCTCCCGCTTGGACGGACCCGAAGCTTGTGGCCGAAACTAGAGAGCAGTCTTCGCTGACTGTGGCTTTGAAGAATCTTATAGTGCACGCGAGTCTCTTCCACTGGGTCACAGGAGACGGGGGAATCCGAAGGGTGTGCCAGCCTCCTAGCTCCTTCTATCTCTGTGTCCCCGATGAAACTCGAGAAGTCAGCCCGAAAGAGAGCCCAATGTTATCTGCCTACTCTGCTTAAAGCGTCTGCTCCTCGTCTCATCACTTATGGCAAACAGCGTACGAAGCAGTTCGTCTTGGAAAAGTATATGTGCAAACAACGACTCCTTTCGGGAACGCTTATCAGAGTGTATAGTTTCAAAGAAAAAAATATAAATGCCTATCTGGGCAATACTTGCGTCCGGTGTAATAAAGATCGTGTCACTAACTTCCGAGAAAACCATCAAACCATTCTTGTCAATGCGCTAATCATCATAGAAACCAGCTGTTTTGACTTCTCTCATTCGTTGAGCCTTATTTTTCCAAGCGAATTCACCCTGGCCCTTCTATACTCGAAAAGCAGTTCAGAATTGCTCAAACTAGCAGCAGGTCCGTGTATCGTTTAGCACGGATAATTCGCTATAGGAAACACGGCAACAGTTAAAACGCATTCCCTACCCTCTATTTACGAAGGATGGTTTTCGCGTGCCTCTGCATCCCCAAAAATCTTTTAAAACTCAGCAGCTCATACATGAACCACTGAACACTACCGGCGACTTTTGTTAGATCGTTAAGAGTCGCTCCATGAATCCAGTAGGTGTGTGAAGGTAAAACTGATGTAACGGTTCATTGGTATACAAAAAGAAATGAGAGTTTAGGCCTTATAAAGATCCTAATATTCTAACACACACACACACCACACACACACACACACACACACACACACACACACACACACACATATATATATATATATATATATATATATATATATATATATATATATATATATATATATATATATATATATATATATATATATATATATATATATATATATATATATATATATATATATATATATATATATATATATATTCCCTCTGTGTCGTTTGCTTCTGGCTAATTTCGTGGAAGAGCTTGATGCAATGCAGTGTCACAGTTGTTATTCAAATATAATAGTACAAAACACTATCATGAACATAATGTATGATTGCCTTGCTCTGAATCATAAATGAGGTCAATTTATTTTTTATTAGGGGGGCCAGTTAATCGTTGTGAAAATACGTTGGCACCTTGTAAACGGCACATTCACGATTTCAATATAACCAACGCTTTCTAATGACAATTATAATTTACACGTGAAAACTTCCGATACTTGCAAAATATCGCATGCTTGCTTTTCTGAAAATTCTGCGATGCTTGATTGATCGCCCCATAGAAAACCGAAGGGGGCTGCAGCAGATTGCGTAAGCCGAGTCCTGAACCTGGTGAAGGTTTTAAAATCTGCCCAATTGGGACATCTTCACGAAATAGATTAGACATAGGCAAGTTATCGAGAGTGGCTACTACGAAATATACTAGTATAAAGCACGTCTTCACAATCGAGTTTCGATATGTGTTGTATCCGTCACTGGCTATAGCTGGCCACTTGACTGAGTAACTGGTTCAAAGTGCAAACATGACTAAGCTGGTGCTGGTTCATGTTGATAAAAATCGACTCGTCCTTTGTATTACGCGCTGATTGTCATCATGAATATGTAACTGGTGTTCTGGCGAAGCCAAAGTGGTTGTAGAACTGCATCCCACATGAAACACTATATGGCAATGTCAACAGTGTCCGAAGTTTAGCTTACGCCGCCCTTCGAGCATTCCACCATGGCTTTTCGATCACGGGTTAAATAACACAAGTAACGCAAGACAGCACTGCGTTTGTCGTTTCTTTATTGCTCACAAAAGAAAAGCAGCTTGTCCGATTAATATGATAATTAAAATTGAAGCAAACACTAGCACTAAGACATAACGATATCACCTGCACGAAACTAACCGCATCCACTAAAAAAAAGAAAGAGTACTTCTATCGTCCAGCGAAAACCGGATTTCGTGTGTTCAGCTACAATTTTCCGCTTTCTTAATGCTAACTATACACAACTGACACTAGGTAACTGTAAATGTAAAATGAAATTTAGGTGCATAATCAAGCAACAGGTATACATAAGTCTACATAGTTAGACATATACTGTTACTTATCCTGAATATATATGAATGATCGAATTGTTGTAAAAAAATCTAGGAAATGCGAGTATATGTATGGCCGAATTTAGTACCACACAGCTGAAAAACAAAAGAGAGGGGGAGAGGGTAATTGCACATAAGTACGACTGCTTATATGCACTGTAATACCAAAGTGGACTCTTTATGACAGGCTTTGCACTTTAGTGTATACCGTTTTCACGCTATAGTGATAGAAAAAAAAAAGAAACGATCGGTTCACTAGCCACTTCTTCAATATACGCTTTTCTTTGAATTGTTTAGCATATCACTTATGGAATAGCATATATGAATAGACTAGCACGAACTGAGTGCGTGGGTGTATATGCATATGATAAAGCGCTATAACATTCGAAATGTACAGATGTCGTTTAATTTGGTCCGTACAATGAAAACACATGCTGCAGCGGTCTAAAGCAAAAGCGCTTTACACCATACATGTTTTACGCCGCTTCACTGTTCAGCACACTCCGTGGAAAAACATCTCTCTTCACAGCAAAGCGACATGGCCTTCTAAGGAGCGTTCGAATAAATCATGACTGCGGCTGCGCATGCACAGTCCGTTTCACAATTTGGGTATATCTCAGATCGCATAACACGTGGTGCGGCCAGCGCTGTACTTGGGTGCCGCTATAGCACATGACATGATTCAACACTACAGCCCTTCAAGTGTCTGTGCATCCGTAAACTGCTGGCGGCGCTTGAATTCAGCGTTGGCAGCAGCTCAATTCAAGTGCTTCGAGATTCCCTCTAAGAGTGAAACAGACTGTACAGACGGGTCCACTGTTAAAGGGAACACCTGCGTGAGCAGCATGTTTAGATTTCGCTATCTTACGGAATCATAGCGACTTAGATATGCATAAAGCTACTGGTGATTTAAAGTTCCGACTCTTCTTCACAGAATATTGATTTGCATGAAGATTGTTTCTTAATCAACTTGCCTTTAGAAGGCCAAGAATATCGATGGTGTGCATTCGAGTGTTCCCTTTAACAGGGGACCACACTGTATACATATATATTGAAGCCCCACGCATAAGTAAGTGCCAATTCTGTTCGTTGCATAGCGTCACATACTGAGCCTGCACACTATATATGCCAGTGAACTCTGTGGTGGGTATACGGACATAGGAACTTCGGGCGGCTCTTTCCATTCTGGAAAACGCTGATAACATTGCAGAGAATAGCAAAAGAAGAAAAAAAAGTAGCAACACGTTTCCGCCGCGTCCTTCGAGAGCGATAGCAGTGGCAAAATAAACAAAAAAAATCCATCCTTATTTTACGGATGTTCGAGCAAGTATAGCTCTCTAAAAGCTTAGAAAAGAGCGAGAGGCAAAAAAATAGAAGCCATGCAGCACTAACACACTCCAGCCTATGCATATATACCAAAAATTCCAAGTTCTCCGCGACACAAAGGCTTCCATTCATGTTGCGCAGGTGCGTTGCATGTTTAATTACAAAAGTCCTATTTGATGCCACCCATGCTCACTTGTTTCTTTCACTCTAAATTTGCATAATAAAGTGCCCTTCTTCAGCAAAAGGGAGAGTTGGGCTAGTTGTGGTTTGGGTTAGTTTGAAAAAGCGCAAAATACGAAAGACACAGGAAACGTGACAATGCGAGCGCTGACCGATAACTGGGTGCTTTATTCAAACGAAACATGAAGATAAGGGGAAGAAGTAAGAAGACAACAAGCGCGCGCAACAAATGCCCATAACAAAAAAAATACAGGTTTGTAACGTCATTACACCTCTCTCAAAGTCAGGCCATTCACTGTCGAGCAACGCAATGGATGGCATGCCAATGCATGTGGCGCAATTTGTGCACATAGCCAACATCGCACGAACACCATTTTTTGACGAAATGAAGCTCGCATAGGCTCGAGTATTCGCAATGTACAAAATTGGCGGTATTTTCGTTAACACGCCATTAATTGCATTGTTCGATTGTGAGTTGACTTACTAGGATAAACAATTATGTAACAAGCTTGTAGTCTTTTTATCGTTGGCATAAGTTGCGGGCGCATGTTCTGTTGTTCTTATTCCTTTTCTTCTTTTGTTTAGATTGAATGAAGCACTCTGTTATTCGTCAGTGCTCGTGTTGTGAAGTCCTTTTTTTTGTCTATTACTTTGGCGCTCTTTCAAAATGAACCTTTCCTCACTTAATTGCCATACCTTCATCATGAAAAATTATCAACACATTCATGCCCGAGCCCGGTCTCAGCATGGATGTTCCGGTGCTTGTTTGATAATTGAAATAAAAATGAAAGTTGAAGCAGTCGCTATTTGCTAGCGACGTCTACCCCTCTTTATTTGGTAAATAGTATAAAACCAACAGAAACACAACGTCCTGAATTCAATTGCTTTCGAAATTATGTTGTTTTAACAAAGCCCCCAGATGCCTTGGATACTCATGTGCGATACAAATACACAGTGTGGTGGAATCAGTACACCTCGCCAGTACAAGCACCGCCAAAGAAACATTGAACCGTGTTCATAACTTCTGATGGACCTTCGATCACTATGGCTCCAATACTTTGGTAAGTGAGAACGTACGATGTGAATCGAGTAAACTAAGCTTTTACTATAGAGCTGCCATTGATATGGGGTGTGTATGGAACAGCCTGGCAACAGGTGATACACATACTCGTCTTTGCGACTGCAGGAACACGTCCGAGATTACACGTTACTCATTCGAATTGAGCAGGGAAGAGCTGAAACTCTGCGCTACCAACCACAGTATCGAGGGCTTACTTTGAAACCACGACTTCATCTCTCTATGTTACGCTCGTGACCGACGGTGTTTCGTAACATTTGCAGTATAATGGGGGCCAACCAACTTGTGAGTGAAGAACTATTCGATAAACCTATGGCCCGACTTGGACTGCACGGGCTCCGCTTTCGCCCAGTTGCAGTCATAAAGGGTCTTTCTCTAGAACCGAAACAAACCCGGAGCTTTCAAGCATTGATTGCAAAGACAAACTACTACACCAAGTATTATTACCAGCCATGTCTTACGGCTGACCAGTGTTTACATCAATCTTACCTTTAGGAAAGTTAGCCGTTATTCTAGCCCCTCCTGAGCAACACACGTTTTGCTAAATGTATAGAGGGATAGGGCTTGTGATGGACATTTTAAGTTCAAAGTGACGTAGCTTAATATGAACCATAAACTAAAAAGTAGACATTGGTACTTTCCTGTCCATTTTGTTTTTTTTTTTCCTTGATCTGTGTGTCATTGCGCATAGTTTATACATAGATAGAAACGAAATAACATTTCACCCACTTGTTGCACTTCGCAATTACAGAGAACTAATCTATATAAAAGCATGCAGTATGGAATTTACTGTCGAATAGTGTTGATCAAGAGAGATACATATAGTTATATGATGAAACAAGCGCTAAAAATACACACACTCAGAGAGGACACAGATAAGCGCTTGTCTGTGTCCTCTCTGAGAGTGTGTGTATTTTTAGCGCTTGTTTCATCATGAACATTCACCAACACGCCCAACTGTCAGTCATCCTAAATATAATGATATACCTGCGTTGATTCAATCAGATACATAAGTAAAGTCATAAAAGACAATATAAAGATACAATTAACAAAATTTCAAGGAAAGGCACACGATGGACAAAGGAGGTTATCTGTATCTCGAAACGAAAGCTGCAATAGCACGTTGAGGCTGGGAAAGCCTGTCGCTCTAGTGCCAGCCCGGGCAGGCTCTTAATCGATTTTGTTCACTTGTCCCACAAAGAGCACGTTTCCTGTGCGTTTGTTGTCAATGAAGAAGAGGAACGGCCGGTCGACGTGTATCTCGCCGGGACCAGTGATGATTCGTGTGTTGACGGTGACGCCGGTGACGGCTGCTGCCTCGCTGCCTTCCTCGTTCACCTCCACCACAGCCTTGTGTACCATCTGGTTCACAAAAAGCGACTTCTCGCCGTTGATACGGGACAGGTCCGCTTCGGACGCGTTGAAGATCCTCTTGATTCCCAGCTTTGGCAGCACCTCTTTAAGGTCGTACTTCTGTTCCAGCTTAAACCTGCGCCACACGCGAATGTAATAAAAAAGGCTTAATGTTTATTATTAAAAAGTTGATTGACTGCTGGATGAGCCCTTTTTAAAGTTCAATCAATCAATCAATCAATCACTTTTATTTGATCAGGTTAGTACAAAAATGATTACTAAGTATTTGGATCGTTATTCTGCGCGGCTAGTCACTGGTGCAATCTGTTACATGAGTATTTTATTACATGTTAGGAACAGAAGCGCAGTTATTATGATTTAAACTTTTTGTACTAATTCAATGACAGAATGACAGAATTCAATGACAGAATATATCTGTTTAATTACACTTCACAATAACTATGAAATAGCTGCTATAATCTAGGTAGACAAGCAATGAGGATTAACTTAAGGCATACGCTGTAAGAATAGAGGACATAGCGACAGAAAAAAATATGTGCATATTTTGTGGACAAGACTGTGCTGAAGAATCAAAACAGCATTTTTAAAGACGGCAAAGAAAGAAATATGCGCAAGTGAGTTGGAATAAAAGTGTGGGCATGTGCTTTAGTTAAGAATAATGGTTTTAACTAATGCATTTTGCAGGTCAACATTTTCAGGTAAAAAAGAGGCTTGCAAGTTTAATTTCGAGTTGACTTGCGTTGCATATTTTAGCATCAGTGAACTGTATTAACCATTTGCCATATACAACCCTACGATTCGGAAGGTTGAAGTTTCCATTGCCTGCATGTCTTGTGTTACGGGACGGAGCTGAAAACGTACTCACAGGTACTGCAAAGTTGGTGTTAACTGTAGAATTATTTATTACTACGGTTTTATAATTTGGCTGAGGCGTGAAAGGCAGTATCCGAGTAGATCAAAACAAACCTGACCTCGGGCATGAAAAAGGAGTGGACGTAACCAGTCACAAGGCGCGCTTTTGTACACGTGTGACTGGTTCGGTGTACGATGGATAAGAAAAGCCCGCATATCTCGCTATATACAATAAATGAGTTGAGAGTGTAATAAGAAACAGTATAATAATCGAAGCACGTTACTTGAATAGTAACACTTGGCTTTAATGAGCGTGAAACATGCGAAAGCGAGATTTTTGAATATGTAATTCACTTCCTCTCCTCAATTCAAGTTTTTATGCATTAGAACTCCGCAGTATTTAAAAGTAAAAACGTTCTCAATAAGCGTGTTGTTTATTTCCAGGTTCATAGTACTATAATCTAGATTTTTTCCTCCTGGAATAAAATATTATGCATTGAGTTTCAGATATACTTAATGCGAGCTTGTTGTGGGAAAATTGTGTGAAAAAAAATGTGCTAACTCTGCGATAGCAATGAAGGCCAGGGTTGCCAGTTGACTTCCTATGGTCCATTCACCTATAGTCTACAGGATTGTCCAATTAAATACATACAGGAACCCTTATATCGTCCGCGTACGCATTATCAATTACACAATACAAGAACACGGAACACGCAAACGTTAGCAGCAGCGCTATAGTGGCGCTGTCGTGTGATTTCTAGCTAGTCGACCGATGCCACGGGATTCACTAATATACAGGGATTGTTCTAGATCGCATGCGCCGCCTTATCCTGAATTATGCGCATACCATTCCAAAAATTATTTCCTAGCTGCTGGTGCGAAGGAATTGGTATCAACGATTCTGAAATTGGCAATTACCTCTGTCAATATTAGAGCGAATACGAGGTCCAGTAGCTGTTCCCGTCTTCGACGAAATTTACTATAGTTATATAGGAGGTGTCCGCTTCAAAGGGCGGGGGTAAGTGATGCCATTCACAGTACCGTGCCGCGGAACGCACACACCAGTATTTCCCTAAGTAGTGGTGCACCAAGCACCTCCACCCCTCCCTCAATTAGGCGGTGCTCAGTGGTGCCTTTTTTAATGATGGACTTCCGTTAGAAAATCCTGATATGTTCGCTGGCAGATATCTCACCGTTTGGACGGAATTCGGAACTTAGCTATAGAGGGCGAATATGTTTGTACGAAAGCCATATCCTACTTATAAAGGTAGTGTGCGAACATTAAGAAAGCGAGGTATTACGCGCATAAGTATAGAAAAAGCGAGGTTTCGTCAGTGGAACAGCTCGCGTGCAGTGACGGGTCAGACGACCAGTACGCGAATTACTTGCTGGGGTGTACAGTTTGCGTACTCAGTATATTCACTTGTATATCTTTGTTATCGCACACCAATGCTAACTTTTGCATTTGTTGATTAGTGAGAATTAAGGCCTGAAAAGCGCACAGCGGGCCAATGACTCTTGTTATTTTGATCATCAGATATTCTTGAACGTGCACCTAACCTAAACTCACGAAGAGGAGGAACAAACTTTATTTAGAACCAGCACTATAAGTGGGGCTGCCTGGGTCTGGAATTCTTTCATTTTTTTTTTCGCTTGCACTCAATTACGAGGACTAAAGCGCTTAGTCAAACCAATGACCATGTAATCAGGATCACTACTATGTGAGAAAATTTAGGGAAGCTGTTCATGCCCTAATTAAACTCTGGGCGTCCCACCTTACGTGCTCCAATGTGGAACGTGCTTATCGAAATGTCATGCATGGTTGCCCTTTGTCAATTATATCAGGCGTGACGTCAGCTGGGACTTTCAGTTGACATTGTGAGAGTGAAATGGCACAGCGTGACTTGGATGCGCTGTTGAAAAGACACAGAAACATATCAGTCCATTCCCCAATGATAGCTGCAAAGAACTGCTACTCCAAAAGGAGTGTCTTCGATGCACCACACGAACACATATTGATTGATTTATTTATTTATTTATTTATTTATTTATTTATTTATTGACTGATTGATTGATTGATTGGTATGTGGGGTTTACCGTCCCAAAACTACGATATTATTATGAGAGACGTCGTAGTGAAGGGCTCCGGAAATATCGGCCACCTGCAGCTCTTTAACGTGCACCCAAATCTGAGCATGCGTGCATACAGCGTTTTCGCCTCCATCGAAAATGCAGGCGTCACCGCTAGGATTCGATCATGCGACCAACTAGAAAGGAGTGCTCTTCATACTTTATACGTATCGTCTTTTATAGTTTTACGTGTGTTTGTATGTGTTGAAATGAACTAACTAGCTCAGCAAGCAATCATCCAAGATAAAAAGACCATTATAGCGATTCTCGATAAACTGTATGCACAAGTTTAACTTGTTTGTTTATATGTCATGAGCTCTCGTGTTAATATGTACGTTTGTTTTGTTAAAGATCAGTTTTCAAAAAAAAAAAAAAACTCTGGTGGCTGTTGTCATTACTTCAATAAGGGTGGCAATACGCAAATGAAATGCGAAAATGTGCATGCCTTTAAAACTTAGTGTGTTGAAGTAAACATTGAGATTTTTTGATGATAATTTGGCACAACGCATTCTAGCTTACTCGTTCTTAATTTGAAAGATAACTTGATCCTGCTTACCTCGGGAGGTGAAGCATAAAAGTGGCTTCACGGAGCTTTTGCCTAGCGGCCACAATCACCGTCCCATTCAGCTGCCTCTTTAGCACTTCAACGCTGGACTCGTTTTGGGGCAGGGCTATAACCATGCTGTAGTCGAGACCGTTGTAAGGCAGTTCCAACATAGTAGCTGCCAAGTCCCTGACGTATGCGTATCCCGCCTTGACAACGCTCTGCATGGTGTCGACGCTTGTAGAGCGGCCATCGGCCGTGTAGAAAGGGGCCTTTGCCGTTTTAGACTGGTCGAACTTGCTGAGCCACGTCCCCTTGAAGTAGATGGCGTTAAGAAATACCAGTTTGGTGAAGCTAGGCAGCGGTTCGTCGAACAACTTACTAATCTTCTGCTGCGTCTTCTGGCTCACCCACGAATTGATGGTGTTCAGGGTCGCCCGTTCATCACCGGAAAAGTCGGCCTTGAGAAGCTCCGCCACGAAGCCGTTCTTCAACGCATTCAGGTAAGACGGCAGGGCGTTCAGCCGCTGGTCCAGGACTGCGGCATTGGCGACCTCGAGCGTCGAGTTGGACGGCCCCAACAGGTGCCGATTGAAGTCTGCATGAGCGCTCACTACTTCGTCCTCCTCGAGCCCCAGTAGGTGGTATTTGAGGGCTACGTGGAGCTCACTCCGCGTCAAAGCGTCCGCGCCGGCATGAACCATGGCAAGGGCCGTGGTCATGCTGTAGGGTGAGTAGAAGACGTTGTCGAGCTGGGACGTCGACATCAGCGGGAGAAGTTGGAGAGCGAAATTGTTGTTTGAGATCATCACCTTGAGGACATCCGACGATGGTGTGGCCGCGTGGATGGCCCCTATCAGGATGACCCCCACCACCAGCGGGAGCTGCATTCTGGGACCTTTGAAAAAATAGAAGTGAAGCGCATCCTATGTATTCAGTGTACTTTTACATCACGCAGGCTATTGGTCGTTAAAAGTGTTACGTTGCAATTTCTTTAGGCTATGCCTGGAAAGAAAGGAACGTAATATTCATCCCCACTTTTTCAGTCAGTCGACGCGGTCGCTCAATGCGCTCCCACGCCTTGACTAGCAAGTGGTATAATATTATCGCCCTTGAACATTAAATGGAACCTTGCGGTGACGGCTAGCCTGTCGTGTCGCTGCGTGCCTCATCGACCTCGCTATAGCGCTGCTAGCGTCATGGTCTTTTCTTAGCTAGACGTTCAATGATTAAATGTTCTTTTGTTGTCAATTATTGAGACGCACTGTGTGTGTGTGTGTGTGTGTGTGTGTGTGTGTGTGTGTGTGTGTGTGTGTGTGTGTGTGTGTGTGTGCGTGCGTGCGTGCGTGCGTGCGTGCGTGCTCACAGAGCCTCTCACATGGTGTGAGAGGCTCTATCTATCTATCTATCTATCTATCTATCTATCTATCTATCTATCTATCTATCTATCTATCTATCTATCTATCTATCTATCTATCCGCCTACGTCTGGGTGCTCTCGTGATCACCCCCTTGACTTGGGGTAAACCAAAATTACTATGAAAGGGTAAGATGGTTTGACAAATTTGAATCGCTGGTCATGACATAATGTCCCAATCCCGTCGCGTGCATCGTTGAATCTTTTCCGCCAGACGTGTGGCACATACCCGCGGGCGGGTATGTGCCACAATTTATATATATACCAAGGAACGGCGAGAACAGACATCAGTTTTTTGAGCACGTGAGCGTTAAGAAAACGCTGGCACCGGCAGCATTGACCTGACAAATGCAAACAATAAATGTCTGGATTCCGGAAAAAATAGAACTTCAGCATTCTGCGGGTCAATCAAGTAGTCTACCAAAAAGCCACATCAGCTCTCGGAACAACTTTTTAAATACACTTTAATGTTCTTCGAACGTCAATTGTGATTGCAGCGCTGGCTGTCCAATTTTATAAACATTACGTATGTACTGTTTACATTACGTATGTAAACATTACGTATGTACTGTTTACATTACGTATGTAAACATTACGTATGTACATTACGTATGATGCAGTCGTCACGTCGGGTTAACGTCAATTGTAGTTAGGTGCCATCCACTGAAGTTGATATATGTAGAAGTGCGCACGGCTACCATCTCCGCGAGCACCAGCAATTCATATCAGGTCACCACTTGTAACGTTGCTGATATTCATGTTCTTGTTAGCACCTATACGCAACTGTAAACAAATGCTTCTATGAAACATATGCGACTGCTTAACGCATGTCTATGTGTGCATTTGTACTTATCTTTAATGCCACTTCGTAACGCTTCACTTAATTAAGAAATCACTGCACAGTCAGCTTTCGTCCTCGTTCTTCGTACAACATCGATTCCCGAGGTTCGTGGGATCTGCCAATTTTTTTGGCGGTTTCCCGTTTAAGAGAGCCCAACTGAACCCATTTGAGAAAACTTCGGTGAATCTCAGCATGAGTGAAACTGAAGCAAATGTATGCACCTTTTTTTTTTAGATTTTTTTGTGTAAGTTTTGTTTATATTGCTGACCCACGGCCACGAGAAACTTGCGCGGGCTAACGAAAATGTTCATATCGTTAACCCCGAGTTGACTCAAACGTTCAAGCAATGGCTGAAGCAACACTGTAGACACGGATGAGGTTTCAAGAATTATAGCCTACGGCATTCTAACGCTATATCTTAAAGGTGTGGCTACACAAGTCAGCATGTTCTACAGCACTTCATTTCAATACTTGTTGCGTGTGTCGCAAAAATAAAAACCTATTTCGCCTAAAGCGCACTTCAACTTATCCTCGGTTATTGAGCCTCTGTTAGGCAGCCCAGCAGCGAGAACATCGTCCGTAAAACAAACATTGCCGGCAAACTCCTCTTAGGTGTACAGTCAGAGAGAACTTATGCGACCATGATCCATCCGAAGAGCTACGAAAGGCTGCTTATAAACAGCTTGCGCAGTCAATCAGCGTGCAAATAAAATCAAATGATTCGTAAAAGTAAATTTATCATTTTTCACAGCGGTTTTCCCGAAATCGTACAGATAGCAGCGGTACTTCTTCACCCGTTATGATCCTAATGTGTTTCCCTACACTCCTGGATCACGCTTACTATTCGTAAACACAACTACGACCAATTCCTGATTCCAGTAACGAAGCCCAATGCCGGCAGCCTAAAATAAACTAAGGTACGCGAAGCAACCCGAATTAGGTCCTGGTATATAGGATGGCGAAATCACCACTCCGTCATGGAAGCCTCTACGAAGGCTTCTAATAAATGAGACTTGCCGAATACATTGGCACGCTACAGCTGCCATGCGAGTATGAATGCTTGAATATGGCATCGCGAGCCTCTTCTTTTCTAGAAATCTCATTAACCTAATGGTAGCACTCGTCAAAAGCACAAACGCTCGCGCAATCTCTCGCGCTCGTTCGACTTGTCAGTACCGTAAAGAAATGACGTACGGTTTTTCTTTGACGCTGTCGCTGCCTCGGTCGTGTTCTCTGGCTGGGCACTGGAGACCTTTCCTCGAGCCCAGCTCCCGTGTGCTCTGGGATGTGTGCTTGCGACCAACACTGGTCGACGCGCAGGCGGGAATTGCTGGACGTGCAGCCGGTGCAGTGTCGCGCGCTTTTTGAACTGCGGGCGCGCTTGCAGACGGTAATCGAAACGGACTGTTTATTATTTTTTTCTCTGCCTTGCTGATGCTTGTAAACGGTTGGAAAGAGCAATGTGGCGGAAAAGAGTGGGTTAAGGAGAATGGCAAAAAGGGAGGGTGTGTTGCGTCGCATCGACGTCTTCCTTTTTCCTAGGCGTGAATTTGGTGTTGTATTTCGATATCCGCGGCAGCTATGCCAATGCGGAGAGCATGTAGCCTTGAATACCAATTATATATATATATATATATATATATATATATATATATATATATATATATATATATATATATATATATATATATATATATAGGCCGTGCCACGGCCGAAACGTTAGTAAATACGATCCTTTTCTTATGTGCTATCTTCAAGTTAATTCAATATATATATATATATATATATATATATATATATATATATATATATATATATATATATATATATATATATATATATATTGTTGGGTGCCGCCGACGCCTGGGAACCCAATACAGTTGTTTTTGTTGAAGAGGCTAACGCTCATTGATTGACTTTCTTTGGATTAGTTCTGTGTTTTACGACCCTTGCGGATGCATGGAATCACGTATGGCCGATACGTGATATCTCGTTCTCCACTTATGTGAGAGGTAACCCTATCTGCGGAACAGGGACTGTCTACACGAGTGCGTGATTTTGACGACCAATTTGTACTATCCTGCACGGCTGTTTCTTTCTGGAATAGCTTTCGAATAAGTAGAAATGTAAATAAATATCCAGCTAACGTTTTCTCATTTTTTTGTATTTCTTTTTATTCTTGTTTTTTTAACAAACATTACGTGATTTTGCGGATGAAAATGAAACGCTTCTTCCAAGTTTAGAGTCGTATTAAATAAAAAAAAGCACGTGTGGTCACGTATCGACCATTCCTTGTAGCACGTCTCATTGCATGTCCGATCCTTATGTCGGTGTTGATTTCACTCCCCGATGTGTACCTTCGTGTGCTCAGATATCTTAAACTTTATTGATGTGGAGAATTTATTTATGACTTACCTTTGTTATAGTCTCTCTGGCCAATTGGTCTGCAGCGGCAACAACTGTCGTTGCAGGAGGTCATTCTGTATCACGGTGCATAACCACTTAGGGTGCATGTTCGACATTTTGTCCGAGTACCATCGCATCTTTACCCGCAAGAAAGCCACATACAGCACTCAGTCAGTATGCTGTTGTCCATAGTACTTATTTTCCCTTAAACTAGTTGCCTACAGCAAGGCTGTCCTCGCCAGCATCGACCTAAATTGACCCGAAGTGTTCATTAACATACCTAGAGCTACTAGGAAAACGGGAATTACAAAGGTTGCCTTTAAACTTCCGCACTATTGTTCACTTATGAAGCAGCGCACGGAGACAAGCACAAAAGGAACGAAAGGGACACCGCTGCTTAAGTAAACATGAACTATCACCAAATCGTCCAACTTTCAAAGTTTCCGGACTATTGCATATTTATATGAACAACAATATAGTGCTCGCACCCGTATTTGGAGTGATGGTTCAGTTATGGCTGCAAGCTGAACGCTTACGGTAATAATACCAGCGAGATTTATCGCAATAAAGCTCAAAATGTTTCACGCAATTATAGCAGTTGAACTAGTTGCTCTTCGTGCTGTTGTAGTGCTTCTCACGGGGAAGACACCTAATTCATGGTCTATATTCAGCGGTAGCAAAGAAGCCCTCCATAGTCTACCCAACCCTTTGTCATTGCTCACATGTGCAGCTCGCAGCGTATTTCAAAAGTACCCTTTGGAGCAACAGACAAAGGACACAAAGCAATATTATAGTAACTGCCTTGACACTGTATTAGAAATGAGTTCTGCGGAAACCCGCAAGGGGGATGAAGGTTTTAGGAAAGAGAAAGAAGACAACTACCCATTTGTAGCACTAAGCCACAAGGAAAAAACTGGGGCATTCAGGGAAAAGACTTAAGTGCAGCTGCGCCACCCACTCACGACGGCGTCACCGCTGTCGCCTTTCCCCAGTAAAAATGCAATGCTACAAAAGAGCTTAGTGTGCCATCCCGTCTCATAACGTTGAACTTGTGGAATCGGCCGACACATACAAGTGCAAGACCTTACACCCTGACCTCCATCTACGTATCCGTCCGTCTTACCCTGATGCCACTCTACCTTGTTGGTCCGTCTGCGGCTTGAAGTGGCTTTTTCAAATGTCTTTTGTTGTTGTTGTTGTTGTTGTTGTTGTTGTTGTTGTTGTTGTTGTTGTTG